TTCAGCTTCAGCTTGAGCTTTACACAGCCCGTCAACGAGGTCGAGTGGCCCGTGTCTTTGCAGGAGCTGACAATTGCCCAGCGGCCCGGCGATGCCTTACCTGCTTTACCCGGAGTCAACATCTGTGGGGTGTGGAAGTCAAACTGGGTGTGACCGGAGTCACCACGATTCTCCGCCATCATCGCAAGTTGCATGTTTCCCTTTATTGTTTTTATGTTTGAAATATAGGGTTAGATGTGCCTGACTCGTGGTGGACAGGCATTGGTTTCGCAGCGCACCTTCTGTGGCGAAAGGAATCGCACAACCGGGGGATGGCAAGCGACCAGGAGGAACAGACAGGTCCGACAGGCGAAATTTAGAAACCCTCGGGTGGTGTTTACTTGGTTCTTTGTTGAGGGTATACGGCGGTCAGTACGATCACGGAGCCTCTGCGGGTTAGCGTGTATGTACGTGACCTGATGAGTTGGTGAGTGACGGAGTCCCCTCAGCCTTGGGCACTCCACTCTTGCTCACCTGCTCTGCATGGATGGACTTCGTGTTTGTCTACGTACCTGCTTGGTGAATGGATGTACAGCAGTCTCACAAGTAGGTTTCTCTTCACGGGTCGGCTAGGAGGAGGAGAGTGTTCCCGTCTGCTCACCCGCCGGAACACCCACCACTATGTTTTGTGTTCCGAGGGACCTTTAACTTGATTTGTGGGTTTGTGCTTGCATCGGTCTCGATCTGCATTTTTTTTCTGCTTTAATTTGCTTCCGTCTCATCTTTCGTGGGTTCTTGCTTGTATCGATCTCGAGCTGAATTTAAATTGATTCTGTTTTGTATGTTCTCGTCTCATGTATTCTGGGGCCTCTAGTTGTACTACTACGTTTAACGCACCATCTGTGGTTAAACAACGCGGCATTTTTGTTTGTCATCTTTCCTCTTGCGGTGCTTGCCTCAAACGCCGAACGGACCTAGCAGACCCTCTTCCTCTTTGGTGCGTGTACGCGAGGTTTCGCGGCCCCACGAACTTGCGAGTTTTTGTCAAACTCTGTACTACAGGCGGGTTCCGCGGCAAAGCCGAATTTATTTGGGGCAATGATCCTATACCATAGTTATGATGATATGCAAAATTTAAAAAGAAAACTCGATGGTGGTGGCCGGGTTTCAATGCATTATGCTCTTTACCGATTGCCAATTTGCGAAAACGCACAGACCGGGGATGGTGCCAAAATATCCCCGGTTTTGAAAAATCGTCAGATCGATCTGAAAATTTCAGGGTGTGTCAATTTTGGGGTGGGGATCACGAGTCCGTCGTTGGATTTTTTTTCTCGCATTCTGAACAAAGTTAAAATGGGTGTTGTACATTACACTTTTCTCGCCGCCGCCGATTGAAGCACAACAGAAAAACTGCAAGTTTACAAGTCGCAACACGCACAATCTTCACCAAACCACGCGTTTATCTTCACAATAATACCGCAAAAATGAAAACCAAGATTTGAACGCACCATCACCCAGCCCCTCAATCAATATCTACTTGCTGCTACCGCAGAATGAGACCCCAAACTGTGTACCGGTAGCCCTGTCCATCTGACAGGTGGTCGCCCCCTTCCGGAAAACAATTTTCTTCGCCTTCTTTTTGCTCCCGACCACAGGATCCACCCCAACCACAGGATCTCCACCAGTGACCATGATGACTGTCTCCTCTACTACCTGCTCTTCGAGCTTCGTGCCGCAGGCCGGGTACTTGCTCCTGGTATAGCACCGCTCGTACTCATGCACGCGACAGGCAGAGCAAAAACAAGAGGCCGAACCGGTGTGCAGTTTGTGCCGGAGAACCACCTTCTCGACACAAACCGTCTCGTTCGCCAGAGTCGGACCTTCCTCCTCCCCCTCCTCCCCCCCCTCCTCCTCCCCCCCCTCCCCCTCCCCCTCGTCGTCCTCGTCGTCCTCGTCGTCCTCCTCATCCTCGGAACTTTCTTCCTCTTCGGACTCCTCCGACGACTCTTCCTCGCTGCTCGCTCTAGCCCCCCCGCCCCCGCCCTTCAAGTTCCCGCCAAGGAGGGCGATATGCCTCACACTCACTGCGGTCGTCCTCTTGCTCCTCCTGATGCCGTCAGAACTGGTCTGTCTTGGGGGAAGTCAAGCACCTGCACCGCGTCGAGAGGAACAGAGTGCGGCCGGGGTCCGCCAGGTCCTCGCCGTTCTCCTCCTTCCAGACCTTCTTGAAGTTGATCCAACCTGGCCACACCAAGAACTTTTCGTAGACTGCCTCACCCTGTCCCTTCACGATGAGCTGCCGACGAGGGTGTCCTTTCGCACTGGGCAACTTGGATTCCCGCCAGATGTCTTTGGAGTTCGCCGATGCACGAGATACCTCGTCGGTGTGCCAGAACGTTCCCATGAGCTCCAGCATTTCTGGGGGGGTTGCGTCGCTCCTCTTGGTCCGGGAGTGGAAGTAGTACGCCTTCTCATCGATTGCCTGAAGTGGAGGGAGATCAGGCCTCAGCGCTGTCACCCGCCGTCGGGCGGCGACGAGGTGCTCTGGGTGAATGCCAAAGATCTCGGACTTGCGCTTGGCTGTCACCTTCGAAGGCCCGTCTCCATCGTACGCAACAGCCGTGAGCAACGTCTGGAACGTTCTCCTTCCCTCTTTGGTTCGCCCTTGGATTGCGGCATCCTTTAAGGCTCTACGACATGCCGATTGGAGCCCCCTCGCTTCCTCCAGCTGCTCTCGAAGCTTGTCAGCGGCGGGCACCTTGAGCTCTGCCAGACACCGCAACAACTCCGTTGTGGTCATCGCTCTCATCGCCGCGACGAATGCTGGCGAGGTGTCACTCCACTCGAACTGCTCTGGTGGCTGGAAGGTTTGAGCGGCGGGGTGGGTTAAGTGCAACGTGCAGCAGTGGGGGCATTTGGAAACGTCAGCGCTGGGGTAGCAGCAGAAGAAATCAAGAATAAAAACCTGTGGTTCAATTTATACTTCGATTCGAATACTCACCGTAAATACAATGCAATTGGAAGTTGCGCCGGCGGTGGCATACAACACGTCGAGCGAGAGCAATCCACAACGCTGGAGGTAGAGAAGAAGTCTCGCATCACAGCGAACACTCGTCGTTGTCTTCAGCAGTCGGCAGGCATCTACGGTAGAGAGAGCGGACAGCAGTCTACAACCGAAGGGGTGCCAGCACATGCAGGCAATCTTTCAGTTTTATTTTCCCACACAGCAGTACCCTCAAGGTTGTTGTTTTTTACATCTAGTACAACAGAAAAGAGGAGAGGGGTTCAAGAGGGGATAGCGAGAGAATGACAGACAGACCCAGCAGCACCCAGCAGCAGCAGATCCTTACCTCTTCCTCAGGGGGGCGATCGGGAGCAGTCGGCCTTGTAACGCTAGCACGAGTCTTCCGCGGCAACGCCGCTCTCACTGGACAGCCCATCTCGCTGTCTGCCCTCCTGCCGGTGTTGCCGCATCTTCGCACGCCGCTGCTACGCTGCAGTGATTGTTCGTATCTATCCCTTCTCGTCTTCAAGATTTCCTCGGCCTTTTCCCTAGCTTTCGAGCATAAGGCTTCCTCGTCATCCTTGGGGTAGGCCACAAGCTGGTCGATAACGCTGGTATCCTTCCGCGGGTCCATCAGCTTGGTGGTGAGCTTGAGGCCTAGGGCGTGTGGAACCCATTGGTGCTTTACTTTCCACTGCTTGTTTCCCAGCGGTACGATGCGGATGCAGTTGCCCGCTGGGACACCAGCTCCAGCCCCAGCCCCACTCATATATAGCCCCCTCCCGCGGCCACTTTTGGTCAGACCAACTTTCTGAGTGGCTCTACCCCCCCTAAATCGGCCAAGCGGAGTCGATTGCCGAGGAGAAATGGAGGCGGCGAGATCGGGAATGCGCCGAAAAAAAAAGTTCGACATGATCCGAACCGATTTTTTTTTACTTCTCTTTTTTTTTTTTCTTAATATGACACAACGAATCCATCTCTATCATAGAGAAGAGTCTTTTTTTTATGCGCTTAAACGTCGTTATAGACTTAGAACCAAAAACGTTTTTTTGAAAAAAAAAAATTCGCCGAGGGAGAACCGATTTGTCTTTACCGCGGAACCCGCCTACAGCAGGATTTGGGAGCAACAACAACGTAGTCTAGAAGGCTCAAGAGGGATATTATTCGAGGGTATCAGCTGATCCACCATGCATGGCGATCGGCTCAACATTCTGGCTTTCTGAACTGTTTTTCATCTTGGTTTTTCGCCTCTGAACGGAGTTGATCTGACAGCTTGCCTCGACTTGATCCTACACTAATCTATACTACACACTACACGGAAGTGAACCGTACGTGTTGCCTGACCACCCCCCACATTCCCAAAAGTTGGTGTTTCGCGGTGCGCGCCTGGGGTAAGCGACGATCAAGGAGACGTTCGCGACTAATGTTGGACATGTTCCTTCTATGTACCTTGTCCGACGTACGTACGTACGTGGCTATTCGTCGTCTTGATTTTCGTCTGACTTTCTTGCGTCGTTGTCGCAGCACCTCAAGGGTGTGGGGGAATCGTTCTTGTCAAAGGAAAACCCCACGGGTGTCCTCGACTTGGCACGAGTACGACGGTTAGGTTTCGGTTACATGCTCGCTCAGGTTTCGTCTCGGGTTAAAGACTGTTGACTCTTCTTCTGGGACTCGCTTTCAAAAGAGGAGTACGATTGCTTGCGACGCCGCGTTAGCCCCGGGTTATGACATTCGTCAAATCCTGAATATTTCCCTTGGAGAGAGGTCGAAACTCCCAAAGAACGCGTGAAAGCTCCTAGATCGAATCGCAACACACACATTCGGGATGCCCATTCTTCCGTCTCAACGACAGCAGTCTACCCTTTCCCGCTGTTTCGTTGGCACCAGACCACCGGTGCTGTTACCGAAAGCCCCCCCAGCAATACGGACAGATCGCGCAATCAACGCGCCTTCTTCGGGTACAAAAATTTCAACATGAGAGGTCTCGCCTCTGATTGTCCAGCTTCACCTTCATTCTGCAGCTATCGACCAATATGAGCAACAACAAACCCATGCATGCCAAACGAACGGAAGAGCCTCTAGCTAGCCGCATCACCAGCAGTTCGACACCCTGCCCCGCGCGGCAAAACCAAGTCAAGAGGTAGAGGTAGGCCTTAGAAGCTGGGCCCGGAGGTGTCCCAAGAATCTCCCGTGAAAGTTTCTCCGTTGAACGACCCCGGCCCCGGCTTCTCCCTGGGAGGAGGGCCTTGGTTGCCTTTCTTCGGTGCCCCCCCCCCTCCCCCCCCTTTTT